TGTTGTTTTTCCTACTTTTATTAACTTCTTTCTTCCAGAAAATGATGTTCGAAATTGAAGAGGATATTCTTGACCCTTTGGAACCACTGGAATCCACCTCCTCAGAGTCCACTTTTAATGAGAATCCCTTTCGCTTTCCTAGCAGAGGTTCAGCATCCAGCACACATTCCCTAATGATCGACATTGCAGACGAAACGTCCTACGTATCCTCACCCACATCTGTACAGGTAGATTGCGACTCTTTGAATATATCAAATGCTTGGTTTTTGCTCAATACATGCGTTGCATAAGTTGTTGTTTATGCAAAATGGCATTCGACGACAATCAGACAGTCATTTATCACCACACGAAACACGCTCATATGCTCGTTGTTTGGCGCTGTTGTAAACAATCATTTCCATCACTGAAGTGTAAGAAAAGTGTAATCATGAAAATTGCGAAGCTGCTAGACAAAGTTCAAATTGTTTCTTGAATCTGTGAAAATGGGTGAAGCATGTGTTTTTCTTATATAACGGTTTTGTAAGAACAATAGCTACCGAAAGTTAAAAGTGGTATGCGGAGCTGACGCTATTGAGTAGACGCGCTGAAGCAGAGGGTAAGATCTCTTCGTAATCAAACACAACACTTATTCAAATCACCGTAAAACATACTCCTATTTTATCTTGAAACCATGGTGTTGCCATGTTCGTAGAACTTCGTCGTTAACTGCATATACGGAAAGTGCATGAGCTAGACAGATGAGAATAGCGCACTTGTCACGAGGAAAGTACAGCCCCGAGGCTTGCTTAGTCCTTATACGTAAATACTCTCCCCGGAAAAACAAAATTACAGCTGCCATGACTGAATGCACTTTCGGTTCAGACTGAGGAAAGCACTAGAATATAGGGCACGCTCATTGAGGCAGCTGCGAGAGGAGCGCGCAAAGTCTAGCGTAGTGCGAGAAGGAAGGGATGATCAGGGGTGTGCAGCCAACAACGAATGGATAACGTCAAAGATCTTTGTGTATCAAGGAGCAAACGAAGGGATAACATTGTAATGTCGTAAATAACTTAGTGGTTAAATTGCAAAAAATTGCGCATTTCCGCATTACATTTCAATCCAACCTTTAAAAACAGTCATTTAGCGATCACTGTGTCTGAATGCTACCAGCACGCTGGCCATCGACATTGTCGATTCAGAAGATGATCTCAGCCCTAGCACTAATCAGAAGAAACTTTGCTTGTGTGCAAGCATGAACCCAACGGAGGTAAATTTGCAGTCCGCCAGTTTATGGGCACTTTCTGACTCATCCCTTTTAGACCCAAGAACAAGGACAACGATCAAGGAAGACTAGCCAAAGCGCTACGTTTCCTTACCACACACATCAGATTACTGAAGATTACATTGTCTCTCATGAAGTGAGCAACTACTTAGAGGTAGAAGGTCTCGCTGAAATTATCTAGCTCCAGTTTTTAGATTATTGGAATTGGTGAGTCCGGCAAAGTTATGGCCTGTTACAACAAGGATACCAACGAGAAATTTGCGTTGAAAGTGCTTCGAGATGGTCCGAAAGCTCGGAGGGAAATCAGCTTGCACTATCTGACTAAGTAAGAACTTAACTTTGCACAGTTAATGATTGTCAAATAAAAGTGCATCAGAAAGAACGTTTTCATGAACTATAAACAAGGAGGAAATTATAAATCACCATTTTTATTATCATAATCTGTCACTATATTTGCTTGCATCTTTTGGAAGGTGTTGTGAAGCACATTTGCTACAAAACATCAAGTTATCTTCTTTTCATAAATCATACCCCATAAGGGCGACTTGCAAATATCATCTATCAATAACATTTGTTTTGCAATTCAGACCAGAATTTGATTTAGTGCTCATGAGAATATCGTAACAATTGTGGACATTTACGAGAATACTTTCGATAACGTAAAATGCCTCCTGATGGTGGTTGAATTCCTTGAAGGTGGTGATCTTCTCAGTCAATTCGAGGAGCAAGGCAGCAAACCATATTCAGAAAAGAGTAAGTTCACCTTCTCCTTATTCCTTCTGAAGACCGCCGTCATAAATTATAATTGCGAACAAAGTTTCGAATGCTACACTGTGACGACGCAAATATTGACAACTTTGCTGGTAATCAGTGCCAATGATCACCGCGATAAATTCTGTCTGTATTTCAGAGGTCGGGGAGATCATACGTCAAATTGGATCAGCGGTGGAATACCTGCACGATATGAATATTGCACATAGAGACATAAAATTAGAAAACATACTTTGCAGGTTTGTCTTCATTGTGTGCTCTTCCCTGATGCATTTTACTTTTAGAGATTTCTAAATTCGATGTAGCTAAGAGTAGAAGATGAAGCAGCGTTATAGCATAGAAAAGATCACACTGCCATTTACAACAGTAGGATGCACAGAATTATGTGAATAGGACGGTAGCTTTGACGACATGTTCATAAATTATTCAAAGTGGAGTAGCATCTAATCTTCATCTCGAGGCTTTTTCGTACATCGCATCTGCATCACGATTGCGTAGTAGGAATGACAACCACCAAACATATTCGTTGAAAGGAATATGAAGAAAATTAAGTATCGGTGGAAATGTTTTGGCTTTTTAAAAATTTTCTTGTGAAGTTACAGCAAATTGGTTGAATTTGCGGTTTCCTTGAACTAATCGTTCAAATATGAAATTGAGGTAACTATTGTCCTCAAACTTTAGAACAGCATTGGCCACTTTAACATTGGATGGACAGCAATACTTTCCACTCTCTTAATATTGCTTTCATATTTATTGCACCCATGCACGAAGAAGGGTAGTATGACAGAGGGAGGCAAAAACGTGGACATTCACGATATGGGGTCTTCACCATCCTCGTGACCAATAGAAGAAATGTATTTCTAAGTTCCTTGATGTTTGCGGGGAAGAGAAAAAGGGGAGGAGAGGTTAAAATGCTTCAACCGTATTAGTTTTCAAATTTTATGCAGTCAATTCATATGAATTTTCGATTGATATAAAATAGAAGTTACTAGTAAGCTAGGACTATTGCACGTCAATATTTGATTTTTCTTCATAGTAGGAAATAGAAGTTATTAATAAAAAGTTGGAAACGTTTCATTAATATCGCTCGTATCGCTTACGTTCTAACATTTAAAGAATTAGAGAACCTATCTTGACTTTCATTATTTGCTACCAGTTTCACAACCAATTCTTTTCAGTTCTACGGGTGATGACTGTGTATACAAATTGGGAGACTACGGGTTTGCCAAGCGCCCTGAACGTAATGTGCTCATGGAATCACCATGCTGTACCCCGTACTATGCGTGAGCACCTCTTTTTTTGAAACCGTTTTTCAAGAGACAATTTTGAACCCACTGTTTACAGACCTCCTGAGGTGCTATCGCGTGAGCGTTACGACAAATCTTGCGATATGTGGTCACTGGGCGTAGCTATGTACATATTGTAAGTTCATTACTTGTTCCTTACATTTATCATTTCGAAGAAAAAGAAACCTCGTGCTTGGCGTCGTACCTTGTGAACATCTTGTGACAAGCAGTATCGTATCTAAGTTAAAAATTCACGAAAATCTGTCCAGTATGCAATTTACCCGATCTCTGCGTGTACACAACTGGCTTCGCAAAAGTTTTTCATCTTCGGAGTTTTGTTAAGAACCAATTATGACAGCAATAATGTTTCCGATGTGAGCTTTACATTTATTCATGCCAGTGAGCAATGCTAACATTAATCTTGCGCTTTTCTTTCCAATTAAAGCCTAATGTGCACATGTAGAGAGGAAGTATGTTCTATGCTGAAGTAACGACGAAAACGACATAAATTATCATCGGATCATCAGTGGTGTTAATCGTTCGGTGGAAGTAAGAGCAAGTGGGGATGTGATTGATTGTCAAATCAGTAACACCCTCTCTAAACCCAGTAAGAGAAGCAAATTCAGCAGTCAATAGTCGCTTCATTGGTTTTCTCTTCCCATCTATCGATTCTCACCACTGTCTACTCTTTCATGGAGTATGTTTCGGATACGATACAAAAACTGTAAGGAGATGTATCCCAGTTGGGTGGTTTACAGACTATGTGGGTATCCGCCGTTCTACAGCATGAAGGGTCTTGCCCTCTCGCCGGGTATGCGAAGTCGAATTGCGAAGGGCTACTACGCATTTCCGCCGGAGGAATGGGACCAAGTGTCTCAACCCAGTAAGCGTAGCACACCACACATACCTACCAGAATTTACAGTACTGCTCTTGCCGCAGTAGCGCTATTTTTCTTGCATACGACTAGCGCCGCCCCGCGCCTTACGCTGCACTGTCTCTCGGACTGTGAGTCGTCCTTCAGGCAGGTACTTTTCAAGTTACTTGTGGGAATGCTGACCACAGTCAAGAGCTCTGCACGTACGACACGAAGCGACTTAAGTTTTCTTTCTGTACTTCGTCTGCACTTTGCTGTCCTCTTCTTTACCAAATATAATTCAAGTTTCAGGCTTGTATTCTGTTCAATACATATCTCTCAAATTGTCTCCACATTATTTTGTACTATTTCAGCCAAGGATGATATCCGATCGTTACTACGTACGGATCCGCATAAAAGGATGGACATTCACGAGCTGATGAGAACACCTTTCGTAACAGGAGAGAAGCAACCAGAGGGTGTTCCTATTCCCGGAGCAGGAGAAGAAACAGACGAGGTATTTTTTTATAGATTACTTCATATCAGACTCCCAATCTGAAAAATAAGTTAATCTAACTATTTTTAGCAAATAGCACTGTATCCTATACGTTTTTGGTAACCGTGACTGGACAAAAACAAATTTCTCAAATAAAAGCATCTTTTGATTGTTACACATTCTTTCAGGTAGACCAACTTTAAAAATGGCCTTCTAGGATTTCTTTTATTGTGTAGTTGCTTGTATGGCACGGTGAGTACGTGTACCTATCCATGCTGTGACGTGGTGGTTCAGTGTGTAGTCTTGTGAATATATCACGGCAAAAATGACAATAATTTGCGATGGCTTCCATGCCAAAATGAGATAACCATTGGCCGAGCTATACTAGGCATGTTTTTAGGAGGCAGGCCACTTTTTCGCACCAAATATCAAGCTCTAGAGCTGATCTGATC